GGGCTGCGGGGCCCGGGCGGCCCAGCGCTGCCCGAAGGAGGGGTCCGCAAGCCCCGAGGAGGGGCCCCAGGAGACCCCCCCCGGTCTGTTGGCCGCCCGCGGGGCTCCTGTGCTGGGGACAGCTCCTGCCCCTGCTCGACGCCACGGGAGAGCGCTGGCAGGTTGCGTTGGCAAAGGCCAGCCAAGTGCAGGGGTTGTGCTTCTACTCGTTTGAGTCAGCTTCTGTTTTCTTAGGAAATCCGTTCAGGCATGCCTGACGCGGGAGGCGCAGCTCTCCTTAAGCCACGTTACCTCGCTTCTGGTCTTGTAGGGTAAACAGTGTCAGGCTAGGTCAGTAGTTTAAAGTTGACGTCTCTCTCCAGGGACACCCCAGAACTTAAAGCAGAAAGTACTGGTGATACAGTAGGGGAGGTCTGCAGCGCTACTGCCTTCCCAGAGGTGACCACGCACGAGTGATTTGGAAGCGACCCGCTCTCTGCTGCGTAACCTCCAATTCTCTTGGATGTGGGGACAAAAATTGCTTCTAGGCTCGATGCTTTTGACTTCTGCTCTTGAGAAGGTTGAGAGCAGTATGGTTAATGTTTGGAGCTGAAAATGGAGTGGGAGGAAATAGTAACAAGATTTCGAAGGGCTTTTATCCCAGCTTAAAATAACATCAAACCCTTTGTAGCATCTACAGGGTAATGCACAAAAGTTAGTCTGAATCAGGTCCACAAGAAGAGCACTTCATTGAAAATGCGCGTGTTGCTGCTTGCTGGTTTTGCTTGCGCAAGTTAAACTCCGATTCTCCTCCAGGCATATACAATTAAAGCATGTCTGCTATGTAGTCATAACCCATAATGACAAAGCTACCTTGGTGAGGTGTAGAGGCTTATCAGATGGGAGGACAGAATGACAACCTGGCCGCCTTTTTTTTTTTTTCTACAGTGGCCTGGAAGTAGTGGCTTTCTCTGTAGCTTTCAGTATTTATTTATAAAGTTGGACACAATCGATTTTTTTTCATTGGATCCAGCATCATAACACTTCATTCAAATCTGACTTGTGCTTTGAGTCTTCCCCCCAATGTTTAAGAGAGCCTCCAAGGTATTTCAGTGAACAAATTTGGGAGGGTCTTTTACTACAGTGGCTTGAGCTGGCCTTTGCCGTAGCCAGTTCTGCACTGTTTATTGCTTTTATAATGAAAAATCTTGCTTTCGCAGGACCGTAAATGGATCGGTCCTGCTCCCTTGCTCACCAGTGTCTACTGCTG